ACATATTTTAAGACAAGATTTTCTTTTTTTAAATAGAAATTTTCTAAATTTTGGGACAATATGTTCTGATAAAGAGTACATTTATATACATGTTTAAGCCAGAATAATTTGACATTTAAATTTGACTTCCCTACGACTTTAAAGGAAAAATGCAGGCCATGTTTTTCAGATTTTTATGATCGAAACAAAATTGAAACCTTAAACCTTTTGCACAATTATGGACTAAATGGTCTAAAATCCCAATAAAACGTTCTGTGAAAAAAACTGATTCACAAGAAAATTTCTCGTCTCTTTTTTAAACAAATTATGCTAAAGAAATGAAGTTGAATGCTCAGTGGTTTGATTTATCAATATGTTGACAAATGCCTGATCCATGCGTGTGGGGAGCAGAGTGTTGCCAGGAGCCCTCCATGCTCTCCCCCTCAGTCTTTTTTTTTTTTTTATCTCCAGTTTTCTCCTCCCCTCTGTCTCTCTCTGTTTTTCTCCCTACCCTGCTCTCATTCCATCAGGTCCTTCTAACAAACACACCACAGACTCCTTCAGCAGGAGCGGGGGATCACAGGCAGAGGAGAAGTGACGGGAGAGCAACATCAGCACCACTGACAAGCATCTCCCTCACTGAGGGACGCAGGGAGACAGGAAAGAGAGGTGGGGAGAAGAGGGCTTCTGAGATAAGTGGGAGAATTAAGTTAGTTGGAGAGACGACCAGTGAGTGAGGGAGACCTGGGAGTCAGATCTGCTTGGGTGGCAGCTGGGAGCTTCTTTTTTCTCCTTCTACTTCTTAGCTGGGATCTCTCTCTCTGGCTTCTCTCTTCTCCTTCCTCTCCCGCTCCTTCTCTTCATCTCCTTTGCTCCTTCTTCTCACCCCGACTCTCCTCCCAGCTCCCGCCGTGGGGTCGCAGCTCTCAATCTCCCTCCCCCCCTCCCTGGCTCCCTACCTCCCCCGGGCGCTGCTTGGAGACTCCGGGCTGCTGCGCCGCAGGAGGATGTCTCGGAGGGAGTCTCCACCGCCGCCTCCGCCGCCTCCACAGCTGCTGGGGGGGCAAGGGGGGGACTGCGAGGACCGTCCAGAGCGCACGGAGCCTCTGTCCGACTCTGAGAGGGAGATCATCCAGGACACGTGGGGGCACGTCTACAAGAACTGTGAGGATGTGGGGGTGTCTGTGCTCATCCGGTGAGTGAGGTGGTGACTGTCTCTGGTTTCAAACTGACCTGACTAACTATACCTGCAGTTTGGTGCTGATCTGGTTTGGAAGTCTAGGCTGCAGAAAGTCCAGTTTACTTCTGGCATCAGTGCCTAAAGAGTCAGCTTTGGTTCCAATACGAGTAAAAAATACTTTAAACTAACTAACGCCACTAAATTATTGAGTCTAAACATGTTTGAAGCGAGCTTTCGAGATACATCTCATGATTTTAGATTTATTTATTTGACAGGGACTGTGTGCATTAACAAGCTTTCCTGCAAAATGCACCAGAATTAGCCAAAAGGCAATTTTTCATGTTTCCCTGGACTGATCTGAAAATTGTCTACCTTAAAAACACAACAGTAAGAATTTTTACATTGAAAAACACAAACATATATATAAAAAAAATAAAAATAAAAATTATAACTCTTCAAAACTTGTTTAAAAATACAGAATTAATGTTCGATTGACCACAAATTTTAGGTTAATAACATAGAATAAAACATTCAAAACATTCTCTCTCTCTGTATATATATATATATATATATATATATATATACACACACACACAAGTGGCAGCCTGGTTTGTCAATGGAAGACCTTCATCTAATGCTGCCATGACTGATGTGTTATGAGCCAGTTTTCTAGATCCTTTTTGTGAATGTTGTAAGTTCTCTGATGTTCTGAGGAACAGAGTTCTACTCATGATCTGCTGTGCTGCTAAGGCTCTTTGACTAAAAGCACTTTTACGCAGAGGAACACAAGGTTTTTACAGGAATGAGTGGCTCTAATTTCATGCTTTTTAAAGCCCTTGTAAAGCTCTTAGAAATAATGTAATTGCATCAACAAATACCCATGACTCTCATAAACAAATATACATATATATACATACATATACAAATATATATATGCATATATATATACATATCTATACACATATATACACACATATATATAAATCAATCGGTGGTTGGTTCTGTAAAGGGGAAGTGGCCGATCCCCATATCATCCCCAAGCATGACTTCCATGCTTTAAAGTAATTAGTTGTATTTTTTTTAATTTCTGAAATGCTGTTTGATTTTGTTAGAGTATTTACATTTTAGATAAATCCGTCTGGTGAACATTATGTCAAACCTCCTTTGCTTTGCCTTCATTCTCTCATCCAAATTCGAGTCTGGCTGTCATGTTTTCAGTATAGATGACATTTCTCTCCTTAGCACCTTCACTGAATGTCGTCCTTTAGGCTCTATAGTTATCGTTCAGCATATTGATACAGAAAAAATGGGCTTCTGGTTTTCTACATACCTGTCTGAATCTCTCACCATCTTGAAAGCCTCAGGCAGCTTATTGGACCTCAGCATGGTGCCCCCCACCCCTCCCAGAGTGTTCTTTTAATATTGTGCACCTGATATTATGTGACTTTTTAGACATTTCAAATGGGATAAAAACACATTTTTTTCTGCCTTTATTACCTTTAAAAGAAATGTTCATGATTTATTTTCCTCATTTCTTTTCTTCAAATTTTAAATAACTTCGTACTGAAGTATCCTGTGAAACCTGTTTGTCCAAATCCAGTAGCAGCCAGTCAAAAGCCGCCCTCTGGGCGTGCATATTTTTCTACTCTGACTCCACCCTTTCACTGAATTAAGGGTCTGACCAGGAGATGACGCTTCTCTTTAGGTCTTAATGTACACATATCATGACAATATTTTAGATGTTTAAAAAGGAATTGTAGGGGACCAGCCAGGGGCCCATCAAGGAAAGTGGGGAAATTTTGCATGACTGTTACTGTACACTCACCGGCCACTTTATTAGGTACCCCATGCTA